TCAAGGTTATAATGTTGAGTATTTTTTGTGAATGAAGTCAAGCTGAGACTTTCACTCATAAACTTCACAGGCTGGTGCAGGTTATAACTGTGCTAACTCCTGCACAAGAGAACTTTATTTTGCTATTCGTGGACTAAAAATCTTACTGAAGTGCTACATGGAGTGACATTGCTCATTATCTCACCTGTTTTTACGAGTAATGAAGTAAAATTATAAAAAGCAAGTAGAAAAATACTATGCAACAAGTAAAGAAAAAAAAGCAGATGTTTTATCCACTTTTCCTTGACTCTGACCCTGCTCTAATAAACTCCCTGACTATGGTGCACGTTGCCCAGAGCTGTGGAGATGTGGCACACAGGTGTTGGATCTGCTGTGTGAGCAGTCACACGTCTTTTGTAGACATCATCCTCTGCTGCTTCGCAGTGAGGTGTTTTCAAGCCCGCTGGCACAAATGACCAAAATAAATCCTCATCCAAATCACTGGCAGCGGCAGAGGCAGTGCTGGCTCGTCCATCCTCCAAGCAAAGCAGTAAGTTTGGGTTCCCTATGGGAATCATAGGCAGCTCGTTTGGGCTGGTGCTGTTGGAGCAATGGAAACACAGTATCTGCTCATCCAGCAAGTGATTCCCAGAGCTCTCGGAGCACAGGAGAGGCTTAGGAAAAAAAGGTTTCTTAAAATTCTGTGGTTTAAAATTGCTCTCTTCACCAAGTCATGTCAAACAGAGAGACCTCAACAAACGAGGGGGCTGAGGAATCACTAACCATAGGAAGTTTAACTAAGATAAATGCTGGATTCTGCCCCTGGGATGGGGCAACCCCGGATGGACGGACAGACTGGGAATGAAAGGCTGGAGAGCAGAGCCGGGAAAGGGCCTGGGGGTCCTGGTGGTGCCAGTTGTCCCTAAGTCAGCAGTGCCCTGGCAGCCAGGAGGGACATCCCTGTCCTGGGGCACCAGGGAGGGGATCGTCCCACTCTGCTCTGCCCTGGGGCAGCCTCACCTCAACATTGGGGCAGTTTGGGGGGTCACAATGGAGGGAAGATCTAAAACTGTTGGAGAACATGCAAAGGAAGGACATGAGGATGGTGAAGGACCTAGAGGGGCCACACAAGGAGTGACTGAGGTCACCTGGCTTGTTCAGCTGGAGCAGAGGAGACTGAGGTCAGAGCTCAGCAGGGGCTGCAGCTTCTCCCGAGGGGCAGCTCCACCTCTGCTCTGGGGGGACCAGGGACAGCAGCCAGGGAATGGCTGGAGCTGTGTCAGGGCAGGCTCAGGTTGGATCTCAGCCAAAGGTTCTTCCCCCAGAGGCTGGCTGGGCACTGACCAGGCTCCCCAGGGCAGTGGGCACAGCCCCAAGGCTGCCAGAGCTCAAGGTTCTTGTGAGTCCCTTCCTGCTCAGCATATTCTATGATTCTACTGTACCAAAATAGTACCTTCATTCAGGAATATTCTGTGACAAGGTGTTCATTAGCAAACAACAATTTTGTAAACTGCAGTATAAAGCTTCCCAGAGCTGCAGTGACCCCAAGAGCATCACTGATTACATGGTTCAAGCACTTTTAGTGATACAGGGCATCCTTTAAAGCAGTTAAGAATTTGGAGATGTCCTTTACTGAAAATCTGAAAATCACTTTGGTCCCACCATGATTGTTTCAAAGTCCTGCTACCAACGATGGACTGGAAATAACAGTGATGCTGTTAACATATTTCATTACATCTGCAGGTTTTTTGTTAAACCACATTAAGCAAATAAACCTGGGTAAAAGTCTCTTCAGTCTATAAGGGGCTGTATGCTTTTTATGTAAAATTTGTGTAATAAGATTCTTTGCTTTAATTACATTTTTCAAAATGCATCAATAGAATGGATGGTGTTTTGCATTCAGCATCATATAGGTATGTATGAAATACCTTTTTGTCCTTTTTATTTACTTATGCAGAATGCAAAAGAACACAAATACCCCACAGTCTTACTTTGATTTAATACCTTGAAACAAGGAAACTGGCCAATAGTATTCAATAAGGGACATCAGCTGGAGATTTTCTGGTCTAGCATACACAATTCAATGGAGAAAAACCACCCAAAACTAAACCAAACAAAGCAGTTTCAAAGCTGTTGGTTTGTTTTCTTTTTCCCAGCTACATTAAATACTCTAAAATTTGGAGCTTAGAATCGTGGAATCGTAGAATGCTCTGGTTGGAAGGACCTTAAAGATCCTCCAGAGCCACCCTCTGCAATGGGCAGGGACACCTTCCACTAGCCCAGGTCGCTCCAAACCCTGTCCAACCTGGCCTTGGACACTTCCAGGGATCCAGGGGCAGCCACAGCTTCTCTGGGAAACCTGTGCCATTTACACTGTTCACTTAAATATGGATCTCATCACAAGGGTTAATGACCACCTGAAGTTTGGAAAAAATGCTTCTATTTTCTCTGAACTGGAAACCCACTCTGAAAATCGTACTGGGAAACCATTTATAAACACTATTCCAAATACTGAGCTTAAATTTATTAACATTGTAAACAGTAGAAAACACACAAAATGCAGCCTGAACATGACAAGCAATTAAAGTGGCTACTTCTGAGTAATATCATGGAATCATTAAGGTTGAAAAAGCCCTTCAAGATCACCACATCCAACCTTTGATTGAATATCACAATGCCCACTAACCCATAACCCAATCTGCCATTATGGTTTTCAAAATAGTGCTTTAAACCATTAAGAAGGAAGAGCTCTTAAATATGTTCATTATTCTAATCTGAAATAAATAGAAAACTTCCTTAAAAATAAATTAGTATATTAATTAAAATTATAATATTAATAATTTAATTAAAATTGCTAATAATTGTTCTACAAGAAAAGCTACCATTTTTGAGTAAAACAAAAGGTAGTTAAACAAAGTGAGGATTTATTCTTTCTGTTACTGCCATAGAGGATAAACTTAGAAACTTTACTTCAGCTTCCATGCTAGTTGTATTTCAAACCCAGCTAATTCAGGTAAACAACACTGTCTACTTTGGTTTATGTTCTGGGCATTTATGTCTTCTCCTTCAAAAATAGATATTACATAATCACAAAAATTAAATTTGTTTTTCCTGTCAGTATTTACCCCTGTGGGAGGCTGTAGTATAAGAGTCTCTTTATCATTTCATGTTCACCTGAATTACTGTGACTTACTGCCTCTCAATAAAAATAGTTTGGATGTCCACAGTACCATGAAGATGCAGCCACAATTTCTCATGGACATGTCAGAAAGACAACTTTCCACTAGAAATGAAAGAGCCTGCAGGGAAATAATAGGGAATAGAACTGAATTTTACACTAAAGTGTTCTTGCTGTGCCTGGGTTTCCCCTTCACGCTCAGAGGTGACCACATAGCCTTCCCCTTAGATGGATCTTAGGCATATGTTGTATGTCTACGATCTTTAGATTTGTGACACAGAATTCCTGTGCAGATGCTGGGCTGAGACAGAGGTTAATAAAAAAGGAAAACACTGCTTGAAAACAGATGTTTGGATTTTGAAGCACAAATATAGCTGACGCAGATAAACCCAGATTTCACCAAGTCTAAGGGATAAGAGACGAACATTCCTCCTTTAATCTCATTTGGTTTGCTCACTAGTATTCAGATAAGATAAAAGGATAAAAGATCAAGGTCCTATCTTTGAACGATTTATCAGTGGTTTTTAATTTCCTCCTAAAACACTTGGAGCATCTGTGAATCCGATAGAAGGCAAACCTCACCTATAATAGGGATTCTAGGATTTACTACCAATGGCTTGTTTGAAAAATAAGGTGGCTGGCAAGAGTTATGTGTAGAGTTGAGTTTTAATAGCTTTTCATGGAAATCATACCAACTAATTAGAACCTGCTAGCATATATAGTCATCTCCAAAGTTAGGGGCATGGCATGGCTCATATACAAGAATGGGTTACAGCCATCAAGACAAAATCTTGTTTCAAGTAGTCACTGATTTTCCATGATATGGGAGAAAAGTAATGTGAAAAAGGGAATAATTACCAATTAAAATGATAATTAATAAAGATTATGTCAATGTTCTTATCACTCCCCAGCACATAGGCCTTTTTTGCCACTTGCTAAAGCTAAAAAAAATTAACAGCAATGATGGGATATGCAAGTGAACATCTTATTTTATCAATACTAATAAGTTTTCAGGATTATCAACACTGACCTTAAAAATAAGTAAAGAGACACTTTGACACCATCCACAATTCCTACAGCTCTGTCCAAATGGAATGAGATTTGGGCAACTACCTCACTGAAGGGGCATAAGCAGTGGTTTGCTCGTGGTGTGCAGGACAACTGAAACAAAAGTGAGTTTCCAAAATACTGATGACATGAGGTTTCAGCAAATGAGGGAGGAGGAGCTGATTTCTCTCCTGCTCACTTTCAAGTAGCACCTTCACAGATTTATTTTTAATTTGCAACATATAGTTTGAAAAATTATTATGCAGAAAACTACAGAATGTCAAATTCATAATCTGGGACATTGATAGATATAGACTAGGAATTACCACTCTGTGTCCTATGGGGATGCTTAGGGATTGTGTTTTTATACTTTCAGCAAAGTGCAAAAACTGGAGGACACTGAAGTGAGCAGAAGACGCTGAGGTGGGATCAAGTGCTGTGTGAGTAGTGTTACTGTGCAGTTTGCCATTATTATAGAAACCCCCAAGAAATAAGGATAATTAACCATTCGAGGCAGTGTATGAATTAACACCTGGGCCACCGCTGCATGCATATAGTACATAGTACAGAATAACTATTGTAAGAGAGAACACTCCTCCAACTCCACAAATCCTAGAAGATCAATAAAAGAGAATTTTCAGTACTCTCTACACTGCAATGGTGTTTTATGGAAAGAAAACAGAAGGACTTTGAGGGAGGCCAATGTAGATATTTCTTATGGATACACTCCATAAGTTATGAGAAAAATACGGAAGCTTAGAAGTTCAGTCAAGACTGAATTTTGTGGTTCCTTTATTACAACAATTACATTGCCCCAACTTCTGTGCCACCTGTGAAAACTACACAGGAAATAGAGTGGCTGCTTGGAGGTCACGATGGTTTGGAGCTGGGGATCCTCTCCCAGTGAGAGCTGCTGGGCACGAGTCAGTTTGCTCTTCCTCTGGTTCTGGTGTGGACTCCTTTCTTGTGAGAGTCTACAGAAAGACACACCGGAAAACCATAATTTACTTTGCTAGACAAATGAGAGGTAAATCCCCTGACACTGGTATGGAGCAGATAACAGTGAGTCACATCTGTGCAGTGAGCTACTGCAGGGATTTTGTACAGAGCAGGGTCCTGGTTTTCTGTAAGAATTCACAAGCTCTTATTCCCCGTATTTGCTTTTAATCATAGTCATAGAATGGTCAATGTTGGAAAAGATCTCTAAGATCACCCAGTCCAACTGTCAACCCAGTACCACCACCATGTTCACCACTAAACCATGTCCTCAAGTGCCATGAAAGTTCCTTGAACAGTTCCGCCACTTCCTGGGCAGCCTGTTCCCATCCTCGACAATATTTTTGGTGAAGAACTTTTCCTAATATCTAATCTAAACCTCCCTGATGCAACTTGAGGCCACTTCCTCTTGTCCTGTCAAGGTGGAAGTAAGATGATAAATATGAAATCAGTGTCTAACCTAAAATCTTAATAATCCTTCTCTGTGTGAGGTCTGACTGCAAACCATCAATAACATCTAGTTGGTGCTGAGTGAACTGCCAAGCCCAAGTCAGGAGCTGCCTTTTAGTGGGTTTTGCAGCCCAAATGGTTGGACTTGATGATCTTATAGATCTTTTCCAATCCTTAGGATTCTATGATTCTAAAAGCTGGAGTATCCATTCTCATCTATGCTCTGTTCAGTCAGGGATCATCAACTGAAAAGCCTGAAGTTAGGCTTCCCTTTGCCACTTCACTGGTGTCATAATCTGGTTTTTATCTGCATTATTTATTTAGGTGCTTCTTGCCAGCATTTCTTATCTATCAAGGGCAGGTTTCTTATATCACACTCCAAATACCAAAGTAAGTCACCCTTTAGAAACCTCAGGGTTTCAGGAGCACGCACAGGCTTTTTTTCTTCTTAACTTCCTACAGAAAATGGAAAGGGAAATGTATAATAAAAATGTATAAGATACTGTTCAGCCCAAAACGAAGTAGGGACAAACCCAGAAAAAATGGCTGATCCAACAAAAAGCAGAGGATGCCAACAGCCCCCTAATGCTGCCCTGCTTCAGCCAGAGCTGCTGCCAGCAGAGCCCTCAGACAGCCCCAGCAATGCACGGGGTTGTTTACTTTGGATGTTTCTCTGAATAACCTGCTTGTAATTAGGCACTTTTTGTGGATATCACATTTCCCTGTCACTGGCCTTTTTTTCCTCTTTTCAGGTTTTCTTTTAAATATTCCATATGATTTAACAAGGCAGCACCTTCTTCTTTTATAGCCAAATTAGGTGTTAGAAATTAATCACCCACAGCAGGCCTCCCACTTGTCGATACTTTGACCAGAAACCTCAGTTCTTATAGGTGTGATATGAAATCCAGGGAGGATTTTGAAGATGTGCAGTTCTCTCCTGTGTGCTGCTCTGAATTTTATTCCCATTTGTATTGCTCTAAAGAAGTCTCATGACATATTTATTGAGAATAAACAGGAATGTGTGGTTGAGCAACCTCATGCACAGGTTATATTTCCACAGGTAGCTCCATTTCATTTGCTGCCTGGCCGGAAAAACATCTCATAAAGGCCAACACTGAGGAGAACTGACATGTTTTGTTGTGTCACACTCATCCAACACGTGTTTTGAGGTTAAATCAATAAAAGACAGATCTGCAATCTCTCATATATGATTATATTTGATTTACTACTCATGAACTATTAAACTGTGAGAATAAGTACACAATCCTTCTAATCATAACAGTTCTTTCAGAATAACAACTATATAGTGAAACCACACTGCTTCAAATTAATAAACATAAGCATTTGCTTTACATAACTTGTTATTTAATGTACTGTGTACAAGGAGAATATCCTGTTTAGTGTTTTGCTCATATATCATAAGGAGAAATAGCAAATACATATCATTCCCATACCAACTTGCATCTAAACCTGTAATTTGTAAACCCAGGAATCCTCAGTATATGTTTCACCAATCCCATAACACAACCCACAGAGAATTTTTAAAATGGAATTAATTACACACTTTAATGTAAATTACAAATGGAATGAAATACAAGCCATACATTCATATGCAAGATATTACATTACATTAAAGTTCTAATTCAAAGAATGGCCTAAAAATCTATAATAAATCTGGCAAGTCATTCTTTTCTAATATGGATTTTCCACGTTAATTTTTAATATTCATGTCTCTTTTTTAATATTCATGTCTCTTTTTAGAAGAAACTTAATGAGGCATATTACCTAAGTGTAGCTTTTGATGTGACATCTCCTTCAAACTGTGATTCATCAAACAGTGTACAAATATATATTTTTTTTCTGAAGTATTTTAAGAACAAAACCCTGAACTGAGTATTTCTCATTAAAATAGTGAAAAAAAATAGAAGTGTTCTTGATTTCAGAGGTAAAATAGAAAGAATAATATTGCTGGAATTATGTTTCAATATTGCTGCTTTGCATATGATGAGCAGCATAAAGGATATTTTAGAGAAAATGGGTTGAAATCACAAATGGAACATGCCAGACAGCCAAGGTCAAAAGTGTCTTGACAAATATTGAGTTTAACCAAGGCTATGACAGACAGTCAGGTTTAGCCAGATTCAGCATAAAGTATTACAAAAATCACTTTTACACTAGAAATTAATTGCAAACTTACAATTAAGAGTTTCCTGGTTTTGCTTTTCTTTGTGGTTTCATGTCTGGATCCAAACTTTCATTATATAGTAATACTTTGAGTGATAACATTACTTATTTTGATTTCCACCTTGAACATTAATGGGACAAACCATACTGGAAACTGAAATCAGCCTCAAGCTCATAAAAAAATTTAATAAACCTTCAACTAACTGTCAAAGTTGGTCCTAGTTTAAAGTTTCCTATTGTAATCCCTGTCTGACATTAATCTAAATCTTTTAATTACTTGCTCTGTTAATAGCAGCTTACAGGCTCAGAGCAGTGGACTATACACTCCAGTATGCAATGCTGTGACTTCCTAAATTAGAAAGCAATCCTCCGATCTGCATGAAATTAAATTTATTTTTTAATGAAACTTTAACCAAAATACTTCATCAGGGATCTCAGACACTTGCATTTCTCTATCTACTCCAACATTTCTCTTCATCTCATAGCAAAAACACATTTGCTAAACTGCTCATTATCTGACCTGTATCACCTGAGATGTTGGGTATCTCCTTTCTGCCTTATGCAAGTCAAAATTACAGTTCTTCCCTCAGTAATCCTCATAAATCTGCACTTTGCTACTTATGTTTTCTGCTTCTTCTAATTTCAAAATCAGATCTGCCTCCAGCTTCAGTTCCTCTCATTTAATTTTTTCCTTTGTATATTTTCTTGGTAGATGGAGTCAGCTCCATGAAATTGGTTAATTCTGTTCCTCTAAGTTTCTCTCTGATATAGCTAATATAAAACCATTGAAATATAGGGGACATTTTATTCTACTCCTCTTCTTTCATATCTAGACTGAAAATATCAGGATTTATTGCATGTTGCCAGACACATTTTAGATGCTACTGTAAAACAAAATGATTAATTGATTCAGCAAAATGACTTTGTGCAACATTTTCAAACCACAGAATCACAGAATATCCTCAGTTGGAAGGGATCCATAGGGACCATCCAGTCCAATCCCTGGCCCTGCACAGATACCCCAACAATCCAACTCTGTCCCTGAGAGCATTGTCCTCCTGGAGCTCTGGCAGCCTTGGGGCTGTGCCCACTGCCCTGGGGAGCCTGGGCAGTGCCCAACCAGCCTCTGGGGGAAGAACCTTTGGCTGAGATCCAACCTGAGCCTGCCCTGACACAGCTCCAGCTGCTCCCCTGGTGAGGAGCTGCAGCCCCCTTGAGCTCTGCCCTCTGTCTCCTCCCACTGAACACACCCAGTGCCCTCAGCTCTCCCCCCCCCCCGGGTGAACAAGGACTAAGAAAAGCATTGAAAACCAACCAAAATACTGTATATTGCCTGTGCATGTGCACACAGACAGTTCACACCTAGAAAAGCCCAGACAACTGAATATCCTCGTATGACAGGCTTCCAAGAAATGCTGCTACGTGACAGGGATAACAGTCCGATCCACGTTTCTCCAAGACAGGAATCACCTGGCCATTCTGAGCATTTTCAGGGACATGCATTCCCAGCCCAACAAGATTACTGGGGAGGAAGCAACACTGTGATGCAGATAGAATAGATTTCCCTGTTGATAGCTGAGCTGGCTGATATTTCCTAGCAGTGATCAATTTTAATGTAGGAAAATACATGGCCTGTGGAAACAAAATATGAAGCAGAAGCCTGAATGACCACTGTTCCAAAATCAGCCTCTTGTTCCTTCAGCAGTGTTTGATACACAGTTTGTGTTCATGTTAACTTCCCTTAGGTGAGCTGATAAATCATATTCATCATTGCCATCACTGTCCAATGATGTAAAACCAGGCATGTGGAAAGGGGAGACGACAGACAGGGAGGAAAATGGGGATGCAAGTAAAAGGTCATGCTTCCAGAAAAGCCTTTGCCTTCTCAAGGGAATCAGTATACAATCATTTTACCATAAGGTTAAATAGTTACTAATAATTGCTAAACCATCACCCTTCTCCCCCGCAGTGTACAGTTGCCTGGAAAAGGTCACCAACCCTCAAATAGAGCTGCAAAACGGAATTTGTCAGCCCCCTTCCCTGCTGAATTCGTCAATCCACTTCTCCTGCACTAGCCAGCAGCTGAATTTCTATTTTTGCTGGCGCTGGGTTCGGCTCCTTCGCAGAGCAGGGTGAGCCAGCCCGGGGCCAGCCCTGGAGCAGAGCAGGATGAGCACTGGGCAGCAGGGACCTGGCAACCACCGCTGCTCCCAGTCCATCAGACTTGGTCCTGTTTCCCAAAATATAGGACTGCAACACCACAGAACATTTCAAACACACAGGGAGTCCTATTTTGTGCTGCAATGACTGTAATAAATGACAGACTGACTTTCAGAGGAGACTGAGTGAATTTGGAGTGAAAACCCCTCAGCTCCCAAGCCTGGTTTACATGTGCAGGAATCTAACATTCCTCAGGCATTAACATGCCTAACTCAGAGCTCATTCTTTCATAATTCAACTGCACAGTTACATTGCTGCTAATAAGCAGTTTACTGGTCTTAAAAAATGGCTGTTAACATTGCAGTAATATATGTTATTAAAGTCATAAATATTCCATTTACAATGCTTATGTCTCACCAAAGTTTAAGGCTGTTTCAAAGATCAGATGTCTCATTCTTCAGTCTGCTTTTTCAGCAGAGGGATTTTGGTGGAAAGTTCTGTTTCTGCTTCAAGCAGAAACTTTATTGTTGTTGGAGTTTGATACAATGATGAAGGAAAAGAACTCACAGATGCTGACTGCAAAACTGTAGCTGAAAGTAAAAAGCTTTCCCTCTTTCTCTTTGGGAAGTTTTTCTTCACTTGTCTAATTCTGGGAATTTATGAAAATAAAATTTAAAAAAGAAGGAGAGCACACAAGTTTCAGCTGTACATTGAGTGAAATTTTTCCTGTCCAGAATTGATCAGGGACTTCAGAAAACAGGGCAACCATGAGCATAACAACATTTCTTTCCGAACACAACACACTGATATCCCTTAATACAGATGTAGTAATGGAGCATTAGAGTGCCCAGGATGGGTGAGGCTTGGATTCAGCCCCTTCTTAAGGGAACTGAAATGTGTGTTGCAATACACACATGGGAGCAAGCCTTTGGAAAGGAAATTAATGCATAATTAGGTGAGCAGTAATCCCCTGGTAAAAGGGGTGACACCTCGTAAAAGTGTGAGGGAGAAGCAACCATAGCCCTGTACCGCCACTTACACCCTTAAAGAAAGTGGAAGTTGTCACTGCTTTCAGGGAAAAGCTCTGGTTTATGGGACTGTGGCATCTGATTGCCAAAAATTCTTATTTAAATCTGTCCCTTATTGAAAGATAAGTTGGAAAACCAGGGTTTTTTTAAATTCAGTTTTACTTACAGTATGAGATCATCATAGCCTGTTCAGACATCTCAAGTTTGAAATGCTGTTGCTCTGCAAAAGCACAATGCACCTACCTAAAAAGTTTAAAAAGTAAAATTAAATAACTGAGTATTGCCAGCATGTGAAGATTGAACCAATTTTAAAAGTATTCAGGACTGAAATTGCTAAATTCCTATTCAGACACTTCTGGATCTGATTTTAATATCTACACAATAGCAGAAATAGCATAATTTATGGAGCACACCACTAAAGATGGGGAAAATGATGTGGCAAACACCCAAATGCTGATCATTTAATCTGGGGCAATGTATTGCAGTTACCAAATGCAGGTCACTCAGCTGTGGTGTGTATTTCAGTCACATTAGAAGACTGTGAGTTCATAGTTTCTAATTTTTAAAGTAGATCACAGCTGCCACATCATTAAGACCTTACAATTATATCTGAAAAATAAATTGTATTATTAATAGGATGGTTATGGCCTGTGAGTATTAGATATTGTTGTTTGTGATTTGCACTTAAAGAGGGATTTTAATCAAGTTTACCATTCTCAAAAAGTCTGGTTTGCATTTAAATAAGCATGCTTAAAAATGGATCTGTTTTGCTCAATTATACAATGCCTCATTCTGGGGCCTCGAAATAATTTATTATACAGGCTCTGTGAGCAAGGAAGATGTATTGCATTGTACTTAATCTTATCAAGTTTCTGCTGATTTTTGATGACAATGTCTGTTTATCATAATTATTGGGAGTTGTCTGGGTTAATAAAACTTGAAAAACTATGTGGGAATTAAACCAGTGTGGAATGTTAAACCCACTGCTTGTGTAAGGCTCTCTGATACCAGCTGTCCTTCATGGGTCTATGACATCACTTGTTTCAGAGAATAATGGAATGGTTTGGGCTGGAAAGGACCTTAAAGCCCATCTCATTCCAGCCCCTGCCATGGGCAGGGACACCTTCCACTAGCCCAGGTTGCTCCAAACCCTGTCCAACCTGGCCTTGGACACTTCCAGGGATGGGGCAGCCACAGTTTCTCTGGGAAACCTGGGCCAGGGCCTCAACACCCTCACAGGGAGGAATCCCTTCCCAGTATCCCATCTACCCCTGCCCTCTGTCCGTGGGAAGCCATTCCCCCTGTCCTGTCACTCCAGCCCTTGTCAAGAGTCTTTCTCCATCTTTCTTCCAGGCCCCTTCAGGCCCTGCAAGGCCACAATCAGATCACCCCAAAGCTTCTCTTCTCCAGGCTGAACAATTCCAACTCTCTCAGCCTTTAGAACCATAATTAGCTTGTGCACTGTAAGTATCTATAACCACTTTCTGTACTGGTTCCATACCATGCTATGATTTTTAAGAGATGCTTCCTACTGGAAGTGCATTCAGTAGGAAATTATTTCTAAAACTGGCAACCAAAAAACTTTCAAAAGGTAAATCTTAATTTAATACACCTTTCAGAGGATGCAAAATACAACTATCTGTTTTTATGTAGAAAGAATTTAAAGCACTCATTATATTATTACACCAAGGGTCTTTTGTGACCTGAAATAAAAGCCCATGTTTGCCTCATTCTTTGACACAAAACCATATTGATTTGTCTTAGAATTAAATCTGTAGGCCCCTGGTGGTCTAGTGGTTAGGATGCGAAGCTCTCACTGCCGCGGCCTGGGTTCGATTCCCGGTCAGGGAACTCCTCTGAGCAGATGGAGCTCGTCAACCCTGTAAGGCCATCCATCTAAGAGAAGGTCACTCTAAACAAACCTACAACCTGAGGACCTCACTGCCACTGTCCAAGCTCGCTCGGCCCCGGCAGATGAACCTCAGGATTAAAGGGTGGGCTCAGTTCAGCGCACACCGTGTCTCACCTAAAAAATCCACTGCGCAGGCTCGAAGGGTAAAGACCTTTCCCAAAATCTTCGTTCGGGAAGACTGGCCATGATGATGTGAAATCTGTAGGCAGGGAGCAGGTTTTCACTCCAACAGCAGGTCAATGACACCCCAAAGTAACAAGAATGCCCACAAAACTATGGCACAGTGGACAAAACATACTGTGAATATTTCAGCAGAAACAATAAAGACACTGCATGTTTTCTCTTGGAATAAGGATCATATTCCTGACCAGGCTGAAGTCCTGCTTCTCTCATTAGTGAGGCTAAAAAGGTCAGGATTCCCTCTTTTGGGCTCTGGCTGTGATTATTTTGGGTCTGTTCTCACGCCATTCTCAGTTATTCATTTATCAATAACAGCCTAGCTCACCCTCAGAGCTGTGGGATGAGCACGAACTCCCAGGACAAGGCCCTGAGCTGGGCAGCAGCAGCCCCAGTGGAAGTGCAACACTATTTCTGCTGCAAGAACAACTCTGGAGTTAAAGAAGTGAAGAGACCAAACCAACATTAAGTAAGTTCATCCTACAGCAAATAAACCACAGAATGACAAGAGTTAGTGTTGTTCTGTTCCACAGTTCAATATAATGGAAGTGTTTGTTGCTCAAAGCAGGACTTTATTGATGTTTACAGATAGACTTTATGGTTAATTTGTCACCCTGAGAGTCTCAATGTGTCTGTCTCAGTTTCTGCTCAGGAATACCTGGACCATACACAGCCTATTTTCGTACCAAGGAGAAGGAAAAAAAATACAGTCTTAAATTCCTGTATCAAAGCAACTTTAACTTGTTAAGATAATTGTCTTGTAAAGATTGATCTAGTCATGTCAAGATAATGAGGTTTTTATGGTCCTGAAGAAGATTTAATCTAATTTTTGGAGGGATTCTGATCTCACTGTTGCTGCTTTATCACTTTTAATCTCAATACTTTTATTTGAATTTGCTCTGCAAAATTCAATATACTTTTAGTTGACAGCTGAAAAAATAGAATAGTCTTTTTACACTAAGTTTTCCTGTGTCGCAACTGTGTTTTAAATCTTGTTATCATTACTCTGAACGAATTCAATTATGGAGTTGTTTTGCTACTTTAGACAGACAATACCCAGTATAATTTCTCCAACACAATAAAAGTACCTCTTAAAGAAAAAGTAGTAACCTGATTTGGAACAGAAAGTGGCTGCTAATGGTGTCTTTAATTATTTGGTAGAGGATCATTTGTGAGAAAAGGTTTTGTGTTATTCTTTAATAGAATATATTTGTGGTTATATGGGTTCAGTTTTGTAACAGTATGAGGGCAAAATAAAGTTTGTATTAAAAAAAATAAATGGCTAAACATTGTCTTCCTCAAGTCTCAGGTTTAATAAAACCTTTTTCTTTTTTTTGAATTCCTTAAGGCAAAATGGAAACTTACCACAATTTTGGTAGGTAAATATTTCATAAACCTTTGTTTGTTTCCACTGATCACCATGTTTTAGGCGCGCAAATTTGGTGGGGAGGAAAAAGAACAACACCATAGAGCTGAACTGAAATGAGAATAAAATCACTACATCAATTAAACCCAGTTTGGGGCAAAGTGTCTGTCCACAGCAACTTGTATCTTCTCCCCCATAAACAGGGAAAACTACTTAGTCTATTTTTCTTCTGAGATTGTGTTATTTGTTGCATTTTCTTTCTGGCTCTATCCTCTTTGATTATTTTTGGTTCTTAATCTTATTACTTCACACTTCTGTACAACTGAGCTGAATAAGCTACTTATCCAGACTCTAAGCTGAATCTATCCAGATCATTTTGAATTTATTTGCTCTGTTCCTCTGTATTTACTTTATCCTCCTTTCCCTTTTCTATATCATCAGCAAATTTAGGTCAGTAATTTATAAAATAAACAAAAATGGCCCTAATGATGCACTTTCTGAATTTCCTTTTAACTCCTTCCTGAACTGTTTTTTAATTTGTAATATTTGCTCCTTCAACCAAAAGTAATTCCTTCAAAATTCATATGCCTTTCTGTAGGAGAATGCTTGCCTTATTTGTAGATCAAACACTTCTAAAATCTATTTTAAAATAAGCCCTACATTTGTCTCTTTTTCATCAGCTGCATCTGTATTGCCATATTCTTCAGAAGGAAGACAAAGCCAGTAGTCACAGAGTGCAGCATCCTAAGCCCAGCTCCAACAGGGGTCTCTTTTTGGTCTGGGCAAATCACTTCACCTCCCTTGCCACTCTCCTGGGAGAGGAATTCCCAATGCTGGGATTGTTTTTCACTAAGCACTTGCAAGGTTCTACAGACATGGTTAATGTGTCATGCAGAATCACAATCTCTGTAGTCATCAGCCTTCAGATGCATTTGTTCACATTGTTTTGTTTCCTGATGGCTCCATGCATTCCCATTTTTTGGTCATCGATATCCCTGGCTTGCTCCTTCTTCAATACAACATTCTGCCCTAGGTGATAGGTAGTGAGCCAGTGGAGAGATGCTGTCATTTGGCTCGCTGTGACACATTTCAGAACACTCTTTGTGGAACTCTTGGGCACTTCCAAAGATTCAAATGATTTTATGCAAATATATTTCCAGCGTAACTCTCAAAATACACCAAAATACTGGTTTTAAACCAATTTTATTTTCAGTTCAGAAAGTATTTTTATCTATACCAGCGTTCTGAGTTCTGCCTTCTAATATGGGAGTTAGCACCGAATGCAAGAAGTTTTCTGTGTGAGCAAACACCCATCAGAGGACCAGGGGTGCAGTTTCCAAAGAGAATTTGGAAGACATTTCTTCCCTTCAGTGCTCTGTGCTGAGAGTATGGACAGTCCCAAACACCAGTTTTTCTTTTTTTGTGTGTCAGACTCCTTGTAAGACAGCCTTGTACTGCTCATCATGTGAAGCCTCCAGACAGTAGAGGTTGTTTTTGAGAGTGAATCAGAGTGAATCATATGTGGGGCCGCAGAGCTTTTTAGCACAGAAACTTTCAATCAGTCAATAGTTGGTGGCTTATTTATGAGCTTTCCTGTGTGCCTGCATGCCGGATAAGCAAGACAGAAGGAGTGCTCTACTGAGGATTGTTTTTGCAACCAAAGTTTGTTCTTAAGGGAAGACTAGTGTCCCCTAATTTGTACCTCCTGGAGAGTAACAGTGTGACACTTGGCTTACTCACAGACAGTCCTGGATGTGCCACAGAATCACAGAGTGGTTTGGATTGGGAGGGACAGTAAGATACATCCAGTCCGACTCCCTGCCATGGGCAGGGACACCTTCCACTAGCCCAGGTTGATCCAAGCCCCGTCCAACCTGGCCTTGGACACTTCCAGGGATCCAGGGGCAGCCACAGCTTCTCTGGGCAAACTGGACCAGGGCCTCCCCATCCTCTCAGGGAATAATTTCTTCCTGATATCTAACCTAAACTTCTCCTTGTCCTGTCACTCCAGTTCCTGATGAACAGTCCCTCTCCACTTTCCCTGCAGGCCCCTGCAGACCCTGGAAGGTGCTGTGAAGTCTCCACACAACCTTCTCTTCTCCAGGCTGAACAGCCCCAGCTCTCCCAGCCTGTCTCCATAGGGAAGGTGCTCCAGTCCCTTTATCAACTTGGTGGCCTCCTCTGGACTTGCTCCCACAGTTCCATGTCCCTCCAGAGTCCCTCACTGGCACTGCAGAGGGGTAATGTCCACACCAGGGAGCGTGGCTGGCACTTTGTCTTGCTCTCCCAAAGGGAAGCATTAAATGCTGGTGGCTGCCATGCTCGGTGCATGGCAAGTCATCACGCTCTCCTGCACAGAGTGATAGCTGGAACCATCCCATATTCCTGGGCAGGAGCAAGGCAGTGGCTGGTCCCTTTGACCTCTACCACATGGGTCCTCAATAGGTCCATTACTTGCCAATAATTCCATATATCCAACTCTCCATTACAATTCAATAAAGGCTAATTGAAAGCTGTTCCAGACAAACCCATGCTAGGTGGCCTTATACAGGGAGCAGGATTAAAACAAGATGT